ATGTGGTTGAATGCCTCTGAAGTGGAATATCTTGATGCGCAGAACTACAAGTGAAAAAGCAAGTTTATACTTCCATTACTTTGTGATAGGTTTTGAATTACATAGAATTCAGGCAGGACTGTTGTTTTTTCATCATCTGCCTTGAACTTGGGCTGTGTAGTTGAAAAGCAGTGCTCTGACCTGTGCTCTGCAGCTACTTGGGGATCATGGACCATTCCTGAAGGGCTGGCAAAAGGTGGTGGAGAAGAAAAGACCTGTTGTCAGCTGCTGGAAATGGTTATAAAGGATCCCCTGGAGACTTTTCAGGGTGTAAACAGATTGGGGATTTCCCAATGTTTTTCTCATTGTGGAGCTGTTTCCCCTCTGCCCACTTTGGGTTTCTGCTCCAGCAGAGACTTCAGAGCACTCTTAACATCAGTCAAAAGAAGATTCTTCATGCAGATACAAATACCGTATTTCCCCTGAGGCTGCCCTTCTTGCTCCTAAATGAGCTCCATGAGTAGAGAATGTAGCAAATTTGTACTGTACCTGTAGCTTTGAAGTTTAGCTCTTCTGAATAAAATCCTCCAGCCCTTCTAGCTCTTTGTATGTATGTACAATATGTAGATATGTAGATTGTGATACGAGGTTGAACAGCGCTGTAGTGACTGTAGGCGGGAGGATGTACCAGAGCAGGCATTAGCAGTGCCTGAGGAGGTAGTGTAGCAGGCAAACCTGCCCATGAAACTGGATGAATATCTGTGCTGACTAGCCTTGGCTGAGCTCTGCTGCCATGGGTACGTTACTAGCTGTCCTCCTGGTAACTGGCTTAAAGCTAGTGCTAGGTGCTCCTGTGGTTGTAGTGATTTCAGCATAGCTCTATGGCATGCTTATGTATTTTTTTAAATAGGTTACTGCTGCAGACTTTTTACTTTATCTGAATCACTTCCAAGCCTACCAGATTTCGTGGGGAATAAACGTGGTCCATCTGGATTACTGTGTAGTGTGTAAGCTGGTATGTGGCTAGCTGACCAGGTCTGCTCTACACAAAGCAGAGCTCAGCTCTCCTAAGGCAGTTGGTGCAGTGTCTTTGCACCTGGATCTTGGGTAGTTTGATGCTGCTGATCCCATGAGAGGTGTGATGTTTTTTTGAGAAGTACAGGGTTGCTTGCGGGGATGAGGGAGGGATGTCTGGCTTGCCTAGTGCAGTCTAGGAAGAATTTGCTCACTGTTGCGTCTG